AGGCAACAGCAGCCCCACATATAACGCAATCACATCCCATCCAGAAATCTGGGTCTAAGCTAAGGTGACATTTCTCCTTAGAGAAATTGACCCACTCTCTGAAAGAGTGGAAAGTAAAATAAACAGGGTTTGGACTTGAGGAGGGCTGGCCAACTGGCGCAGCCTGTTTACACCGGGCCGTGTTTACATATAAACTTCAGATGTGGAGTTAAAAGAGAATATGGCTGCAGAGGAGAGGAAATCTCAGCAGAGCCTCAGAAAGGATCACAGACGAGGAGAGGAGGGAGATAGGGAAGGGAGGAGAGAGCGAGCGAGAGAGAAAGAGAGAGTGAGCGAGAAAGAGAGAAAGAGAGAGAAAGTGGCAGAGAAAGTGAGACAGAGTGTGAACGAGGGAGGCAGACACAGAGGAGGGGGCATGAGAGAGAAAGTTTGTAGGAGAAAGGCAGATAGAAAAAGTGAGAAATCTGATATGGCTGAGAGTTTCTGCTGCCTCTCTCTCTCTCTCCCCTTCTCGCCTCTCTCTGCAGATGGAGGTGAATGTAAAACAGAGTCTACTGTTGGTATCTGGGGGTATCAACAGTCTGGAGTGGGACTCCGCTGTGAGGGAAGTTAATGCCTGTCTGTCTGTCTGCTCAACTTTTCCCCTGCTCTAACATGCTGTACTTTCCAAAATGCTCTTGCTGCATTCTAACACTACATCCTTTATCACCTGGCCAGTGTTGGATACCTCTGGGTTGTCTCACAGACTAGCAGTATACACTAGGCTGCTGGTGTTGTTTTAGCACATTTGTATACCCTGTTGGTTTTCATCCAGCCTCTGTATTTTCTCACACCCCATTTTAGATTTGTGAGCTTGGGTGGAGATATTATTCATAACACACATCATCTTCAATTTAATGAAGCTGAAAGAAAAAAAAAAAACACACTAAAAGCTCCTAGTTTCATCTGATTCTATGCAGAGTGCAGTACTGCTTCAAACAGATTAGAAAACTAATCTCAAACCTTTTTCTCTTTTGACACGGAGAATTATCCCCCTTTGAGGATTGACACCGATTAATGACATTCTGGGAAGATTACACGATCCAATGAACTACAGGTTATGAAACAAGTCATAACCAAAATAAATGTATTCAGACAGGCAAAGAACCTTCCAAATATAATAAAATACATACAGTAATCTAAACAATAATCAGACTATTGATAATGAAGGGAATACCATGTGTTTAATCCTGGTAGAAGCACTTAGGGCTCCCCCTATTGGCCACATTCAAAAACTCTGTAAATTAAGCTGCTGTCTAGTTCCTTTGTACTGTAATAAGTGGGTGAAGGGTATGCTGTCCCTGGAGAACAAGTTATATGTGGTACACGTCTCATTACTTGAGAACTTGAATTTTGCTCATTATTTGATAAAGAAAGAAATAAAAACAATATGTATCTATTTAAACGGGCCATACGTTACCCATCATCTTATATGATGCATGTCTGCATTTGTTCAAACTGTTTTTCCGCAAGCTTTTTGCATAAATATACACAAGAAAAGCATCACTTCTCCTCTAATTGAGACTCTTACTGTGCCCAAATAAAATTTAGGTGTCAGGTACAGTACAGTATGTTCATGTCTCTACCAGCAGAAACCGCAAAATCATAATATAGGAGCAAAATACAAAACTTCTGAATAAAAGAAAAGTGTTCCATGGCAAGAAAGCAGGACTTACAAACACAGTTCTGCTTCGCTTGCACATTTTGTTTTATCCTTCAGTATCAAGTAATTATGCGCCACCCAGGTTGGTAAACACAAAGGTGCTGTGTGCAGCTTACTGATGTCATGTCACCTCAGATTTCATTTGGTGCTGTCATTATATCTTGTGTTGCCTATGCTGCTTAGCTTTCTGGATGGCAAGTAGAAACACAACTATACACCAAATAAATGCTGCACTGACAGAATGAATTAGATGCGTACAGTCAGTGCAGTTAAGGTTTGGCCAATCAAAAACAGACATTCTGGTAGAAAACAAGAGTACAATACAAAACAGAACAGAAAGTTTTCCTATAGTCCTGTAGATAATATATTTTGTATGAAAGATATAGTGTTGTAGGTAAGTACGGTAAATCTTAGTTTCAAGTTACCTTTCCATGATGTTCGATGAGGATTTCTACCACGATGTTCTGGAACTTGAGGTCCATGATGGCAGCGACAGTCTCCTCCTGTGGCCTCATTAATGTGGGCCCAAACACCACGCCCAGGTTGGCCACGGTCATCAGATTCTGCTTGCTGTGGGCCACCACACTGAGAAAAATAACAACTCACATTATAAACATTTTAGTCCGACTAACCAATTCAACTTCATGGATTATTAAAAGGCAGGACAAGGCAGAAAAACAGCACTAAGCTGCAGTACGGTAATTATAATGGATCACTATTTCTCTAATGAAACAGAGAACACCACAATAATGAAAAAAAAGTCATGCTTAAAAAAAAACAACCCTGAAATACAGGACAAGTATTCAACCTCAAAACTGAACTTGGTAAACCACCCAGATCTTGACACATCTTGTCTTGTGTTTCATTTAGTTTGCAGATGATGGCCGCACACACAACACATTTATCTAATTTTTTTAGTAAAATTAGGCCTGAAAGTTAATGTTTTATATTTTAAAACTGTAATAACTTTATAAAGTTATCTCTACACAACTTTAGTTTGTGATGCAGAGCAAGTCGTCCACTAACTGCAGGACTAATTGCAGGATTCAAACTCCAGCTCCACAAGTGTCCTGTCTCTGTCAGGTGAGATAAAATATAAAACCTTGCAAGAATTTGCAATGAGCAAAAGCTCAAACATTACAAAAGATACATCATGATCTTGTTAAATGACTTTAAACCTTCCTTTGATCTCTACTTTTCTGCACATTTGTTATTTTTCCCATTTGGTCTTTAAAACTACATACATACCATTTATAAGGCTTTCCTTTTGTATTCAGATGCAACCATGAATTAGTTTGAAAGTGGCTATTTTGATCATATTTACAGCACTAAAACACAAACAGGTCAGAGCTGGTCTGCCTCACCAGTAAATGTTTAAATTAAGGAAGGATCACCATATCATTGGATGTCTCCTACATCCATTTTAAAATTGGGACATATTCTGTAGATAAAACTTTATCTTCGCCGGTCAAAAAAGTAGAGCCAACCTTTATTTGAAGAAAAAGTTATACAGACAGGTGAAGAGATTTCACACTCAAAATATGATGATATGCAGCGCAGCTGCAGAGACAGTTTAAATAGCTTCAAAGGATGCCTTTGAAGACAAAAACATTGGTGACAACTCACATTTATAACATCTCTGAAACCATTTCAGATAGGAGTGTGAAATTCTGGCTTTGCTTCCTTCCCCTGCAGGACATGCACACACGCCAACTTCAGAAAAATATTCAAGTCTCTCCAGTCTGGAGAATTTCACGCTGGATAATCCAAATTCAATTTCAATAGCGCTGCCTTTTTACCAGAGCCTGATTCTGCAGCGGGTTTCTATGAAATAAGATCCACCAGACTTTCAATGCCTCAGGGAAGACGGATTATTTACTTATCTTCAATTTGCTCATATTTAGTTTATAAAAAGCTTGCTGAGGTAAAACCTTGTAATGTTAGCTAACGTTATTTCTTAAATCTTTCTTTCCATCTAATCTCACAAATGGAATGATGCACAATAGTGGTCCATCCAGGGGTGAATACAGTAATCTCAAGAGAGGGCTTAATTTGAGTGGTCTATTTCATTTCACTTAACCGGTGCACTGCACAACGGCAGGATGAACAGGTATAGTAAGCTACACAATCCTCCCTCAACAACTTTAAATATTCACCAAAATGACCTAAGAAAAGGCGAAATTAGGAAAAAAAAAAAAAAATGTTAAGACGCTAGCAGCATCAATTTTCTTACCCAGCAGTCACTGAGTAGACAGAGAAGAGATGGAGTGACAGCAGGGAAGGGGGAGTGAAGAGAGTGGGAGTGAGGGAGAGAGAGAGGGAGAGAGAAAAAGCATGTGGAGTGAGAATAAGGAGACAGACAGGAAGAGCAGAAAGAGAGAACTGAGAGAGAGAGGGGGTGGAGATTGGGTGAACTATGACCAAGGAACTATGAACACTCACTTGGCCAGATGCTTCATAAGCAGCCCGAGGACTTGTCGATTCCTCTCTGGTAGTTTGTGGACCAGGCAGTGCACCGCTTGGATGCGAGACTCAGGACTACCGCCCTCTGTTCAAACGCAGAAACAGCCATGCACTCATATTAAACTACAAGCATTTCTCTGTGCTCCTCAGTTGGCAAAGAGCCACAGCAGCTTAGATCAAATATTGCACATTAGGAAATTTAAAGACATGATGAAACACTATATACACTGTTGATCTGAGCAGCACACAGTCACAATGTGGTACAAGAAACACCAAATAAGTGGAAGAAAAGAAGCCTCTATAATGCCAAAAACACCCCAAAAATATTATTTGGCAATCTCAAAAGAAACACTTCAAAATTAGGAAAAGTTAGAGGACCTTTAAGGACACAATAATCAGAGGCTATCAGCCTCAAGAGTAAGGGATTAAGCGTTAGCGGCAGATACATTCCGGTTCAAATAAATGAAGAAGAGGTGTGATGGTGATATATGGTCTGAAGCCACCCAGAATTTGGCAGCAGGGACCACTATGCTGGCGGAGGAGATAGCTTTACGTTACTGTCGCTACCGTATAAAAGGGTTGTGTTAAAACCCCCAAGATCATCTCTTAAACATTTCCTCACACATGGGCATCTGACCGCCCACACACTAACAGACACACAGACACACAAAATATCATTACTATGAGAACGACAAGGATTTAAACATGGAAAAAGCTTCTTATGGATGCTGTCATCCATCAAAAAAATATTCATTGCTAATCCATTTTTTCCCCCTCGTTATGAGGGCATTGCGAGCGGCTGATAAAAACGTCAACCTGATCCAATTATAGCACTTGTTGTAATAAGATTCAAGTTTGGCTTGCTTTAAAACATTTCATACACAAATTATGTTACGTGGGTGAAAAAAAAAAAAAAAGGTGGTATTTTTGCAGTTCAAGGTCACTGTGCCATTTTGATTCTGAATCTGGTGTATGTGGCCACAAATTTAGTAGCAAAGTATATGAAAATGGACATAAGCTGCCATTGCTTTTAAAATATGTCGTAAATGCCAGAAACACAGGGGTACGAGACAGACGCGTCAAAAGTATGTCTAACCCAAAGTCAGCTGAAAGACTCTTTGGTAATGTGGAACTCAAATACAAATACCGAGTGCTGAGATGAACAAATTTCTAAAAGCTGAAAGTAACAGAGTAGTTAATTAGCATTCAAGACACACACCATCACACCATAGCTTTTAGGCTACCAATACTACTAATTTTCCCTTAAACCATTAGCACAAAGTTCAGAAAAAGTTGGTTAAAAATGTGTTTTTATTATTTACTTCACTGCATGTTTTCAGCAACTCTCTGAAGAATAACAAACTATTAGACTGGAGTGCTTAAACTAATGAAAAGTCCATTACAGCTCATGTACACACTGCTGTTTGCTTATGATCTGTACTCAGATAAAGTGTTGGTCTAAGAGTTGGGAGAACTTACTCGCAGGGCTGATGAACTCTTTGTATAGTCCATAGGTCATCAGTGGCTCAGGAAGGCTCCTTCACAGAGATAGTGGAAGAGAGAGAGAAGGTTGGGGGGGGTGGATGGAGAAGAAGAGTTGAAGTGAGCAAGGGGGACAGAAATAGCTGGCACACTGTTTTATAGGGTCTGCACACAGCAATGATTAATGTGGCCAGGCCAGGGGATGGAATTAGATGGTGCACGCGTTGAGATAACCAAGTTCATCTGAAGGTACTTTCACACTGCAGCTGGAGAGAGGCCAAAAGTACTTAGCCTCAGAGGAAACTGAGGAAATTGACCCTGCTTTATTCCAGCAGGCCAGACAAGTAAAAGAAAAATCTGAATAACACTCAGCTTGGTTTAATATAGCACAACAATACAGATATGCCATGTTAACTTAAACAATGTTCAGCAATTACTAAATGTTGCAGCAAGTGCTGCCCGACTGAATACAGCGGAGCTCTTCTTTATTTGAAACAGAGAATTATGTCCCATAGTCCAAAGCTCATTACAACAAACTGCCTCCTGGAAATGGTTGAGACATAAAATTAGCCAATCACAACACAATCTCAACCCTCTGAACAGGTCTGTCATTTCCATCCTAATCAGAGTGCTCGTTGATAGAGTGCAGTTCCACCACCTTGCTCTTAAACAGCAGCGGTCACTTGAACAACAACATGAACAAACATAATTTTACTTTAGTTAGCAGTATAGAAATACAAATAAATAATTAGGAATATGCTTTATTGTTGTTACTCTGCATTTGACATGTCAGCACTGTCAAATAAAATGGTTCCAATTATTGGCAAATTGACAATAAATATGCTCATTTTTAAAATCAAAAAGTCTTATAGAAAATAAGCATGAATGACCATAATTTAATTATGCGGATAAAAGAACAGATAAATTGTAATAAAAACAGGTAATCATACAATCACAATGTTTTCTAATATGTGTCACATTACTGGACCTAAAACCAAACAAAATGCTGTATTACCTTCTCGTTTGTGTTTTTCTCATATGTTGCATTTTTAATTAGATATTGACAATGGAGAGAGACAAGAAAAGCGGAGAAAGAAAGCCCAGGAATGGCATACACTCAAAGTCTGGGACTCCCCGTTTGAAAGTGTTTGCACCAATGTGGTCTTCACCCTTAGCAGGATGTATTTTTATGATGTTTTTAAAACAAAAAACAAAAAACAGGGATTTCCACCACTTTAAATACCTCTTTTGTTTCACTTAAAACAAACACAGACAACTTAATTTGTTGCAAATTTATGTTTACATAAACTAATTGGCATTTAAATGAAACCGTCTTAGCGTCATACAGCCAAGCTACATTTTTAATCTTTAAACTTCACCCACACTCTGCCAACCTGGAAGAAGCTGCTAAATGAGAAACACACCTATCAGGAATGTGAGCTTGCAATGAGTTAATTACACAAAACTCTGCAAAATTAAGTCTGTAGCCATTTCATAAAAGACAGCTGACAATGAATAAAATGTTTCTTACTCAAGTGAACACAGAGAATATTACTCATCTTAGTCTTAATAAAACAAATCCATTAACTGCTGGGGCTGTCTTTGGTCAGAAGCGGATTCGCTTTGACACACGACAGCTCTGACTAATACAGATTAGCGATTTAGAAGATTAATCAAAATGATCAATTGCATATGAAGCCTGTGTAGTCATGTCACTGCATTTCTATAATACTGTCGGACTCACAACGGCTCACGTATAAAAAAGAAAAAAAATCAGTGCAGCAGAGCCAAAACATGGTTTCTAGTTTACCCACAATGCAATTCTTATCTTATGCTGCTAGAAGTTAATGTAGCCTCGAGCTGCTAGCCTCAGGCAGAGATGGGGAGCAGGTTCCAGAGGTCTGAAAAGTTCACTCCTTTCTAACAATACTCCCCTAGACTTTTTTTCTTCTCATTTTAAGACTTGTAGTCTTCAGCCCCAATTGATACTGACTCAAGTGACATCACTTTAATAGAATTTAACAGGCTTCACGCAGCTTCTTCTTGTGCCAAAAAAAAAAAAAAAAAGCTTTCAGACAACTTAATGTTCCCTTTTAAAAGTTTAAAGTGTTCATAGGTGCAAACTGTAATAGTTCAACTAGATACTTGACAAATATATATACATGAATGTATAATAATATTGAGAGTTAACTCTATTAGACCGAGGCTATTCTCAGGGTAATTAATTTACCTGCACATTTACATTCACTATACAGGCAAGCCATGCATGCTGCATTTAGTTATTTTTGCTGTTGTTTGGAACGGTCTACGCTATCCAGATCTTCCATCATTTCATATGATAATACTCGCAGGGCTCTTAAATTAGTCTTTATATTATGAAAAAAGAACATTATGAATTGTGAAATTCTGCTTTTACATTTAAATCCCCATAAAATTCTGGCAGAAGAGATATCTTTTCATAGTTGTGTGAGAGGAGTTTGTCTGGAATCTGGTAATATCAGAACCATGATGGTGGGATATTCTATGATTTAGAAAATGTGTGCCTAGTACCCAGCAGAAATACATTACATGATTTATTTTACCAAGGTTTCCACATGCAACAGTCTACTTGCAGTGACTGTATGCAGCTGTAGGTAGGTGGCATTGATTTGACATGTGCTACACCTCGCTGCAATAATTACTCCCTGAGCAATTCAATCAAGAAAAAACGATGAATTTGGACACAAAGTGCATTCGTAGGGCTCTAAGGGTTAAAGTGATCACAGCAGAGACAAGGAAAATTAGTTACCTAATTTAAACAATCACTGTACAGCAAATTAACAATATTGCCAGCAGTATTATCAATACTGAGCACATGTGGGTTGCACTGATCCTTACCTCAGATAAAGCTTAAGTGCACTTGTTATTGTCTTAACGTCCCAGTCTTCGCTGGCAGACAGATCCACTTCGTTGCTCTTCTCATCTAAATGAATCACAAAAATATCATCACTACAAAAATTCATTGAGTCAGCCACCAAGAAACTATTTCATATAGTTCTATTTCATCTGTTCATAATTTGCATAGCCAAGGACTGTGTGTTGTTTTCTGGGCAGCCTAGAAAGTCCAAATATGTAATATAAATATGTAACTTGTAATTAGCCATATGAGGATAAAAGCATTGCTACTAGCCTTGGGGGTCGAGTCTAGCCCCAGTGGATATGGAAGGAAGTTGCAGCTTCTGTAGAGGGCTGCTGGCTCTACACTCATTACAAGTTTAATTAATCCCTTACTACTTCACTGACTCCACAGGGACTCCAAGAGTGTGTTGTGCTGAAAATTCAGGGGGCTTTAGTCACACCTTAAATAACCTATGATGAATTACAGAGGATGTGGAAGTGCAATGTGTCAGTGAAGCGTTTTGAGTCAGACACATGTACGGCACAGGGCCTGAGTCACCACACAGGCTTTAGCTTCATGGGTGGTAGGTGGTCTGTTAGTGGGGGAAATGTATTTTTCTTATTTCATGTAGCACTGCTGACAGGAGGACTGTGTGTCTCTCTGGTTATGCTATCCACAAAATGGCCTGTCCAGTGTCAACATGTCAAAGCAAATGTTTTCTTTGAGTGTTTGTATCCAGGTGTGTCTCTGGATGTGAGATTGATGGGGGCCTGCAGAGGCTCTGTGGTCTGCCCTTGCACAAATAGGCCTGATTTACTCAGGACAACTATGCAAAAACAGCAATGAAGTGGTTGGAGTAGCACTGATTACAAAGCTGCCAACTGCAAAGGAGCACCAAGGACCGCAGTGCCATTCCTAATTATTTTACCTTTGTTAATGACTTTAAGCTCTTGGGGACAACACCGTACTTTGTGGCAAAGTGCAGATCATGACGTGATGCCAGCAGAAAAAACTTTTCACTATACAAATATCTGTTCATTGACACCAAAATGACAAGGCTAAGATGTACAGTGGATGCCGACTGTCAGTGGTTGCTTCCTGTGTTCAAGTTGTCTACCTTGTTTTAACAATCTTGTGACCTCTCAAGTGGCCAGTATACGTCGTCAAAAAGGCTTGTTTCTTGGATAAACAGCTTAAGAAACCCCAACCCACCACAACTGTCTGATAGTGGATTGAGGGATGTCTGTAGTGCACCATTTGCGTAACTTTGCGTAACACACAAGCCAACATTTACCCCCAGTTCTCGCTGTGACTGATCAGAAAGGAGCCAGGGTTAAACTTCATTCTCATGTTCTGTTTTTTCATTATTTCATTTCTTTCATGTAAACAACCAAGTGCAACACTATGACTGTCCTCTACAGTAAAACTGTCTAAAAATGTGCTGTGTTATCCTCGTATATAAACAATATTACATCTCCTCTCTCTCCCTGACAGATGACTTTTAACTTCACCTTCGAATGCAGCTGTTCAGAACAACTATTACACTATTTGATGTTTCATACAATTGGACAACACACTGTTTAAACTAGCCCTGTTTGTGCATACCCCAATCTTTGCATTTGCCCCTTGTAGGGGTCTTGACCTTCAGGTTGGAAACCACCCAGGTGCACGCAGGTTGAAAAGGTGAGATAAATGAGTGAATGACCCTCCCCAGTCATCTGTTTAGCTTCTGGGTGCAAAGAGAGCCGCATACTAAGAACAGTGTGAGGAAAGTTGCAGCAGGAAAACATTTTTCAAGCAAGTGAGTGAATTAAGCCTTAAGTGTTGTTTCAAGATATTGTTTTCAAATGATATTTAATAGAAGCAGGAGAAACATAAACCTTTTTAGCATGTGACTACATCTCACAGACCAATGGGCCACCCTACCTGGACACTTAAATCAGTGTTTAGTGCACTCATGGTCATTTCCATCTCAGACCATAAAGTGTTAAACGTATAAAGTTGTTTTTCGGAAATAACTCGCAGCTTTCCTCAAATTTGCCTCACTCTGCATATATAACTATAGGACCAAAACCTCTCATTCAGCAACTATTTCAGTCACATCCCAGCAAACGCCACACACTCCCCTGCCCATTCTGTCTGTACCACAGACAGGTCAGAGACAGAATGGAGCTCATTTTTACAGTCTTCTTCCTGTTATATTGTTGCTTGTCATTCAATAGGTGCCGCTGTCTTTGTTTGTACTGTAATATGATGGGAGAGTTTTCTATCACTCTGTCCTCTCTGATTGGACTGTGGCCATGTTGGTGGGTGAGAGATGAAAAGGAGGAGGAGTGGGAGGATCCAAAGTCTTTCTTCAGGGTTTAAAGCTTGTTTCACCCACTCACTGTGAACTGTTGTGTGCACGAAATGTTTGTGAATGTGTCTGTGCAGAAGTAATACAATCTCTGTCATACAGCTAAGTCATTTCAGGGATGAAATATACAGGAGCAAGAACAATTTAAAACATGAAGTGTAGTTATACTACAAATATGAGTTACATTTAGGAAAGTTTAATGAAAAGATACCCTCAATTTGATGTAATAACTCATTTACAAAACTTTAAGTGCAAATGAAATCTGTATTTTCCCTTCATTCACAAGAATATGTGGAATGCCAACACCAGAGATGAAAGTTTCTTATACCTTACTCATGGTTTAAAGAAACTTTAAATGTTAATGGCGTCTACAGCATGAGTCTGCACGTTAAGAGACTGGAAGGTTTTGGAGAGGAAGCTGAGACAGGCTGGCGGCTGCCTGAGTTTGTTGTCATTCTGAACACAGAGCTGAAAGTGAGCTGGTGTCTGCTGGAGACAGCAGGAAACCAGAGAGCAGACAGGGAGCAATGGAAAGGACAGAGGACAAGCTCTATAGAAAAGCATTTGAGTGAAAGGGATTCAAGACAAGTGAGAGGCATAAGGAAAATTGAGAAAGGCAACTGACAGACTAAGCCAGCCACGAGCACGAGAGGCCGACTTAGTGGTGTACTAATGAAGCAAAAGCCAAAAAGCGCAAGACCGTGAATAGGGCTGACCCTGTCTGGTTGTCTGGGGGATATAAAGCTGAATGAAAGCAGGGCAAAGATACACGCTGGCACTTGTTGCACTTCAGAGAGATGTGGATTGCTAGCTGCTATCTTTTTAATATCGCTTCTAAGAGACACATCCATTATATCAGCACATTCACCTAACTAGAGGCAACTAAATTTCACAGAGATAGTGCAGCAGCATATAAATTAAAACTTTAACTTTATTCAGGTCCTACCAAGAGCATTCTAATCCAACTACTGAGCAGAAAGAAGAAGGAAAAGAATGGATTGTAACTTACCAATCATCAATGACAGGAGCTTCTGGACCTTGGAGCTTACCCCCACGACTCTGTACAGGCCTTGATCATTAATACCTAATAATAGCAATCAGAATAAAAAATAAAACTTTACTCGTCTAACCTTTTTTATGGAGATTCAACAATGACAAGCCAATGTGTGGAAACCATATAGCAAAACCATGAATAAGTCATTGCAATCTGAACCAAGTGTTTTTGCATAGTTGACAGCATGTAGAAATATTTGTCAGATGAGGAATTAAACAAAACAAATGAATGAAGAAGTTCTGATGAGTATGAGCACTGAAGCAAATTAATAAGAACTTTAGTGCTATGACATTTACATTACCTAAAGCACATGCTGCCTGCAGTACCTGCCAGTCAGCTTTTTGTTCTGATACTGGAGAAAGTCTGCCCCCTTGTGTAAAAATAATGATACTACCCACATGTTACCCGTTCCTATATCAACACCCAGTTTAAATTTACACAGTAAATAATCATTTATTTCTCTGGACTGTGTTTCCCATATTTTTTTATAATCAAATATATCTGAAGCTCACCTCTTGTCTCTATGGCACTGATGGAATTCTTCACAAAATTCAAACCCACATCATCCAACTGGGCATCAACTACAGAAAGAAGAAAACAAAAACTTAAAATGTGGTGAAGCACATTGGAAGTTTATATTTTTTATAATACTGTCTTACAGACACAAGGTCTGGTGAAGAGACACACTTACTTCCTCTGTCTTTAGAAAAAGTCCTCCCAAGATACTGTCCAATCTGTTAAAATAATAAGCATGTAAACTTAACACTTGTGACATAGAGTAAAGTGCAGGTATATACGGTAAGCATATGAAGCTAAAAACTATTGGTTTGTATAAGATGGCAGTTAAACAGAACACAGCAAAGCTACATAAGCTGAGAGTGAGTGGTAGATGATGACATTGTAGAGGCTGACTCACAGGTTCCTTCCCACCCATGGCCTGCATCCAAAACTTGTGGTCATCCTCCGACAGAGCCTGTACTGTAAGCACTGTCCCTGGGCTGGGAGAGAGTCATACCACATCAGCGTTAGGCAGAGCCTTAGTGGTACAATGAAGCAAGGCATTAAGGGATACCAGCATCAATATAAAACATCAAATGTGCTTAGTATTCTTTAAAACTAAAAGACAACCCCTGCCAAGGGCACATGCACCTTGAGTTTGCTGTAACTACAGACATGAGCTCTATTAGTCATACCAGCTGGTTTCTGACACCTACTATCATGTAGGACCAGATGGATATCAAATTACTCATCACAGTCAAAAAGGATGTGTGCACTCACATTTCCATACTAAATCTGGGGTATTGCTCTTCTATTAATACTACAGAAAAGGGGCAGGGCAGGGTTAAGTTGTGTGACAAAATGAGATATCTATAACGGGAGGGCACAGAGGGGTGTGACAAATCCCCCTAGCTAAGTGTGTGAGGGCAGCCCTCCAAAAGAAGTCCTGCTGCCCTGCCCTGTGCTAAGCTCTTTAGCAAAACTGATGGAGAATATCACAGTAGATAATCTATAAGATGTATGGGTACTCTGGACGAGGCATGTGAATACTCTGTATCGAGATGCAGCAAGAATCATCCAGGGTAAAATATTTATATCAGGCAAGTGTGTCACTTGTAACACAACATATAAATTCTAGTTCATTGCAGCATGTTGGAGAAACAGAGTAAAAGGATAAAGTACCGATCGGTTATGTCGAGGTCTAAGCAGAACCTCCTGTCCAACATGTCAGTTGTCTTGCGGAGGCAAGATTTGAGTGTGATGGACTCCGTCTCACCCTGAAAAATAGAATAGTTTTGGAGACAAATATCACAAACGTAGCATGTCAATATGAAAAGTAAAATATTACATAGTGACAGTGGTCGAGATTAAAAAAAAAAAAAAAGAAAGAAAAAAAACAACTGTGGCAGTAATAACCCACAGCAGTGCGTTCTGGGATTACTCACAATCTTTCCACCAGATCTGTGGTCAAAAGTCACCATGTGCAGGATCTTCTGCTCTTTGACAAATGTGCAGTAGCGCTTGACCCAACTTGAACCAAAGGGGGGTGGTCCTAAAAAAAACACACACATTGAAAACAATGAGAATCCTAACAGTCGCTCTTGTTTAACACAGCTGTGAAAAGTTGCAGCAAAACACTGTAATACTGGTAGTAGTCCCATAATACTCCAATGCGGAAATTCCCAGAATAATATGCACAGTGGTCTAAATATATGATTTTGTGAGTGAGTGAAATGTGGAGTGACATGAAAAAATAAATAGCAGTCAGCAGTTTCAGTGAAGACATCCACAATGTCAGCAAGTAGTGTCTCTTTGGATGCAGATTTGCCTCTTCTTCAGCAACATTTCTGATATATCACGCTCCACCGAAGTTGCAGGTAGATGTTGATGAAATATCGGAAATATTGAGTCCATGTACACATTTATACAGAAACTAAAAGAGAAACTAAAAAAAACCCTTGTCTGATTACACTATGCAGAAAATATTTGTCTGTTTTGTAAATATTCTGTCTTCCAGTACGGCTGTTTTCTGTGCAATATGTTATAAATGAGTGTAATGTGAGTACTCATACGAAATGCTCAGTATCAAAGCCTTACGTTTTTCCTGTACATAGAGGTAGCCTTCACAACTAATAGGGCTGGTCTGTCTGTATTCTTGTGGTGCCTCTCTGATTCTCTTCATCAGCTCGAACACTTCTGACCGTGCCCCCTCAAATCGACTCCTTGTCTGGAAGGGAGAGGAAGCAAACACACACTCCACAAAGTCACTTCCTGATACAAAGCAGAATGACCTTCCTAACGAGGGAGCACTGCTAATCAAAACTTATGGGCTTCCCGAGAAGAAAACCCCTTCAACTCCATGAAGTCTGTTAAATAGTGAGTAGTCATATCAAAAGTAAAACTGAAACAGAGTGCTGTAGAACAGGAAAAACAAAACTGACTGACACAAAAAGTTAACAAGTATTTGTTAGTCAGAGTCAGACAATTTACTCAAAGGTTTTCTCTGATTTAAATTAATTTAGAGGCCTTTCTGCCATTTAGTCACTTTTGAGCTTACTATGCTCAAGACTTTTACTTTTCTTATGGTAGATCAAGAAAGCACAAATAGTATACACAGTTTTGACATGCACCAAATTACAAATATGACAATAAAAAAATGTAGTTTTCTTACATTCTGAATGTTGATCTGCAGTTCTGTTTTATAATGATCAAAGTCCTTGGCAAGCTCATAGCCCTGGTGATAAAAGGTGAAGACGGTCTGAAAGAAGGCCAGCATCTAAAAGAATACACAATGTAGGAAGAAAGAGATAAGAGACAGAAATGTAAAGAGCCATCAAATGAAAGAGAAACTCAGAACGAAACACTTTTGTTACATCATGACACAGCATGATGGAACTGTTTAGTCATTTTCAACTGAGACAGAAACTTAAGCTCGTGCGACATATTAGATTTCGCCTTTGCTTTTAATGACGGAGGTTTAGGATTGTTCAAGTCAATAGTCATGTGCCCATATGGATATGACAGCAGGTGTTGGGCTCTGCGACTATTTGTGCTTCATCTGCTGGCCATGAAGGTTTTCCCCTGAAACATGACTATGCTCTTAGAAACGGAAGACAAAATTCAGAGTCCTGGTTCCCTAAAGTTCATGTGAAGCTCACATGCTTCAGTTTCAGCAGATTCACTCAACTAAATTGGGTCTATATCTTTCAAAGTGGTAATGTATTTAGCAAAAAATGTTTGTCTTTCTGTTTCCCTAGGAAGTAGTTCTGTTTCAAGCTGTGATGGATTCTGTCATGACACAACTGCAAGAAGGTATTCTTTCACTGTGGGGATCTACTATACATGGAGGGAAAAAAGTACTAAATACAGTGTAACTTTAAAAGTTACCAACTTGGTTTAATTGTGAGTCTACTGATGCTTCAAATGAGTCTTGACTGAACTTAGGGGAGAAAAAGGGGTATACATTTTTTCCCTCTTTGCTGCAGCTAATTCTCATTCTGAGGTAAAAGACTTCAGGACATGTGACCAAGACCTAATCTCATGTGGGTTGACAGTTCTGGTTTCTTGAATATTTTGAGGTTTGCTTCACTGTAAGGATAAGAGACAGGAATGTAAGAAGGAGTCCAAGCCTGTCCTTGTAAAGCCTTTCGTAGCAGACTTCGCTAAATTAAGATGATTGTTACAGAGTCACATAATTTGTGCTTTTCACTTGCTAGTCAAGCAACTTGGCTGAGCAGTTTAACTGAGAATAATGCTACCCTCACGATATATCAGGACAACTGCATTAGATGGTAAGACATGCATGCATTCCACTCACATGACTAACGGTACAGACGGACAGTCAAGGCCTCGTAGAGACACGGTAATTGTTTGCAGAAAACGGTTTATTTGAAGCTAGTGGAAGTAAAGTTGTGTAAAAACCGATAGAAACAAAGGTAAATTTCTTAATGACTAGTTTGGAATTGGAACTTTGGGACCCGTTTCAAGTTGGAACCGTTTCTTGATGCCCAACCCTAATGTGAACACATCAGTATTGTTGGAAACCTCACATCAGTCAGGTAGAACTGAACAAGCCGCTTGGATGAGAGGTAAAATGCCTTGAAGAACCTAAAAGAGAAGTCCAGTTGTGTTTGACTGAGGCTCCTAAGATTACTATGATCTGCATGACTGAGAATCTACACAGACATCAGTATTCATTTTAGTAAGACTTGGAAAACCACCAATACTTTTTTTAATGGAAGGGAAAAGCCACGTCAGTCAGGTCAGTCACATACCGGTTCCACGCACTCAAACTTCTTCCTCTCTTGGATCTCTTGCAGTTTGCACACATAGTCCAGCGACTCCCCCTGAAATTGCTGTCTCATGGCTTCCACCTGGATGTCTGCCTGAAGAGGTGGAGAACACACACCACGATAATTATAGTTCAAGGCAGATGCATGGAAGCAAAGAAGAAACATCACAATGTTTCTGGTGCAGCACAGTTTGGGAAGTTCTTCTTGGTGTAGCATTACATTCTTACAGAAGACATACTGCAGTCGATAAATCAAATGCTGACCCTGAAGTCGAGATAGTTTAAATAACCCCAAATAACAGGTTTGTCTCAGAGGGCTGTATGGTGTGCGCAGCATACAACAGGCTCCATCATATTTGATTCAGAGAAAAGCAACACACACAGACAAAGAACTGTAATGGGAAAAACAGAAGAAAACCTAAGGAAGTGCAAAAGGAGGGGGATCCCTCTTCAAGGACAAATGAAACGGTATTAGTCAAAAAGAATGTTATTGTCCTCCAGACCATATAAGAGAAAGTGCACAGCGGAATGAAATTACATTCCTCCTCGCTCAATGTGGAAATGACTGACACAGTGAGACAAATGAGGACATAAATAGTAATAGTAATAGAATAACAATACATCCATCCATCCACTATCCGCTTGTCCTTGGAAAGATCACAAGCAACCTGGTGCCTATCCCAGCTGACACTGGAAGCAGAGTACACCCTGAATTTATAGTTTCTTCAAAAATCACATGTATAGACAGATGACACACTCAAATTCATGCCTATGGGCGGTTTGGAGTAGCCAATTAATCTAACCTGTCTGTCTTTGGCCTGGGGGAGGGAATTCACACACAGAAAAGACCGAGTCAGCTGGTGGATATGCTTCCCTCTTTCTGCAAGGGTTAGTCTGTGAGAATGCTAAGTAATTTGCTGAACCACAATTATAATATCCGTCCAAGGACTACAAAGGAGCAAAGTTTTAAAGTATAACTTCTACAAAATTCACAATTGAATAAATCAAGCTGGGCACTTACATAGTTTAACTTTAATAAGTGATATACTTTTTTGTTACAGCAACATTGTCGCAATATTTTCTACTAAGCATCAACTGCTGATTAATACGCATTTCTAATTTACTTCCCGCGAAACAAGTAAGCTCAGAGTTCACACACTGGTTTCCATAACACATGCACTGTTCATTAAGTTGACTAACAACTGATGGAGTGTTGATAATGTTAATGACTCTTTCAGCTGTGAATAAATCCCTCGGTCTATTTATTCAAGTGTGATAGAAATCCGTGTTTGTACCACAGATCCTTGTGTCAGAAGAGTCACAGAACAGAACAAGCTGCACTTACAACATTAACAGTTTCAAGTGTCCTCTCTGCGTAGTGTATACAACATATGGGCGAGTCAACAAGGGCTCATCATGGGACAAAGACATTAAGAAGAGAACATTGTTTCACAAGACGTTGCTAAACTCTCCACAAATTTAAAATTGTCATCTCCTCGTAGTGCAGCAGGGACTGCTTTGTAAACTGTAGCAGCCATGGTTGGCCTCGATAGTACAGCACAGAAGTGCACACATTTCCTTTTCAAACAAGCCAGGAAAACTGATGCTGCAAGGCATGTCAGTGGAAACTCACACAGTCCACCAGGCTTGGCAGCCAGGCGCTTCCTCATAGCATGGAAGACAAATTCACAAACTAAATAAAATATCTGTTTGCATAATGAATACGTATTCTGTATGGTACCTTTCTGTCACAGAGTTCAGGAAAGGATAAATACCTCTTGTAGCTGGGGCTCTTTCTTCTTTGCTGACATATTCAGAAGCTTTTCCAGAGAGCTGTAGTACTTCTCTGTTTCTTTTTCATACCTCTTTCTTTCCGCCTTGAAAAAGTTACAGTGGAAGGAGTGGAAAAACATAAGGAGAGAAAAAATACGACATTAATTCTTGAGGAAAAAGAAATCAGACACACCAAGCATACAAACAGATACATGAAAAGTAACAAAACATATTGGGAAGAGGCAATGAATTGTCATACATTACCCTTACTGTACCGAGCTGCTCTTTTCTGAACTTTTCCAAAGGTTTCATTAAGGTTTCTGTGATGTTTTTCATCTAGAGAGGGAAAACATGTTCTTTATTTATTGCACCATGACACAAAAATAATTTCCAGTCTTAGGTAAAGAGTGACTGCTGCTGTATATTTTTTTAGCATCTAGGAGTTTGACCCTTTGACTAATCTTAGTAGACTAAATTACGTAACTCTAATGGATGCAATGGTATGTGTATTTGTCCTGAAGCATTTGGTATGCAAAGTTTGGTTCAGGATGAAATATGTTCGGTTAGACTTAATTATTACTCTCTATCGCCCATAGCATGCTAGCAGGATTAGCTTTGAGAGCTAGGAAGGCACAGTGTGAATATTACTAAACATGAGCAATGTGTTCACTTTAACTACATGGTTTAATCAGCCTTACGGCGTCGTTAGAACCTGAGAGTCAGTCAACCAGCCAAGGAGGTCACATCTAACATATAAGCACTCAGTCTCTTGGTCCGCTGACAATTCCAATTAAGCTGTTCAAACAAAGTGTCTTGGCAGGT